CAACTCACAGTTAAACACTATAAGTAACAACATTGGAAGATGTCTATATACGGAGTAGTAATAATATACGGAGTACTACAGAGTGAGAACCAAATAAGTGTCAAACCCGTCAACCACGAAAATATAACACAAGAGCACCACATACCGAGTAGGATTACAATCCACCAGAACTTGCATCTACTTGCAACCCAAATTTAATTATTCTTGCACATTTCTGGAGTTGAACCAAAACCATCCCCTAAGAGTCTTGAACTCTTGACATGGTTCAGGGCAGTTTTCTGCAGAAACGGTCTGACCTTAGTAAGGAACACCTCAAGATATCCCAAATGTGCACTTCTATATCACAATAGTATATCATATTTCAAACATCAATTATTTTCATTCGAGTACAACACTATAATTTTGTTTATTTTAAAGATTCTGATAAGATCTTAAAAGTTCCTGCATAACTGAGATTCTGATAGAATTATCACCAAGCAAAATTTCCAATGACTGCTTTCATACAAAATTGTCTGATATATGGAGGTAATACTTAAAATATCAGCTCAATATGCAATATACTAATATGAATATTGTCTCAAATCACGAATGGATTAGCCCTGAGATAAATATATTAGTCTATTTAAAGTTGTGGTTTCCATCTTTGGTTGAATCATAGAATAATGAAATTGAGAATATAGAATTGATAAAATTAACTAATAATATCAATAAAATTAAATAATGAAAATACAAACAGTACCTTGCTGAGTGACGGAGATGGCGCAGACGACATCCTTCTTCTTTTGCAACCTGCAACCATGGCGACATGGCGTCATTTTGTTTGTGTGAGGGGAGATTTCGGGACCTTAGGATGTCTCAACGCTAATCAACTATTTGCTGTGAGAAAATAAGAATTTTACAAAGCACATTTGGCATAGAATGTAGGGGGTTAAGCATTTAGATTTCCATTCCGGAAAGACCGTGAGATGATTTCAGATGAAGGAAAGATAAATTTGCACATATAACAAATTGAACATTGGGGCAGATTTGTAAGATATTTTGGTTCATTTGTCTTTTTCAACTTTGCACAAATAATTTACTTAAAAACACATCATCATCCGAAAACAGTAAGAGCATATTTTTTACTACTAATTACAAAAACTCTTAAGTTGTCCCAAGTCCCAACTGAACTTCCAGATTCTTTTCAAATAACTCTTTAGTGTCCGGTAAAAGAATCCAACCTCGCTGTTTCTAAGTGTGAGAAACCTATAAATTAAGAAAATGTGAAAAGTCAAGATAGGCTCAAGAAGTCATAGTGTCATACATGTATGTTTCAAATAAAGATGAACCATAGAGGCCGCTGCAACATGTAGTAAAAGACACCTAAAATAGATATCGTGTAAAAGGCATATACATCAAAATTCCCATATTAAGCAAATCTTCTGCCAAATTTAAAATATTTTGGTATGAGCATGTACTACATTACTACATCTCAAATGGAACAATCACACAGTGATCCTGTGGTAAAGAGACTTTCAAACCCAACCAAAAATACTTCACATATTAAAGTTTAAATTTAAACCAAATCAATGCAATCACTCTTTAAAGGAAATATATATTATTTTCCTTCTGAAGAATGAAGTAGGATAGTGTTAAGGATATATATGAAATAAACCAAATAGAGACTAAAGGGCCCAAAATATAAGAAAGGGCTTAAGTTACAGGTGATAAAAGCTGGTAATGGTTGTTCTGTCGAATGTGGCAGTCACAGGTTAAAAAACAGACACATACTCATATCTTTGCACAATTTTCCTTTGAAATTATAAGTCAATTCCCCTTTGGCTTAATTTCATTACACTGTAAAACACTTTACAATCCGGAAAATTTTCAAATGCAGTGCAGTTTTTCAAGAAGAAGAGGTAATGAGGTAGTGTAAGTGTGTAATTGTCCTTCAGCTTAGCAACATGCCTAATTCGAAATGATCTATGCTCTGGCTCTTTTGGTTAGAAATGCTCTGGTTTTAGACTTCTAGTTATACATGATGTACCTAGTTTTTAAGCATAGAATGAAATTCAAACTCTATGAAGAAGATGAAAAACTGACTAATCTACCTATAAAACACTAAGACATTGGACTTTTTCGTACATGTGACTATGATCATATTCTTCTATCCAATGACCTTTTTCAAACGGTTGTGAACAATTCTTTTTAAGATAATTCCAGAAACTAAATTATTAAAGCATAATAGAAATCGTAATTAAATCATAGAATAACTAAATTGAGAAAATAGAATTGATAAATGTAGTTAATAATATAAAAAAAATTAGGAGCAGTACTTCATTGTCATTGTCTGATCGCCTACTTCATCAGTTTTCCCCTCCAATCGCACTCGGCTTCTCATTTCTCATTGTCTAAGGCCTTTGGTTTTGGTATTCATGAAAATCCCGGATAGGTGCTTCGACCTCAACGAAATTGTCGAAGGTCACATTCACGGACATTTATTGGTTACAATGATCGAAATTGCAGAGGAACCGGAAAATGATGTTCACGTCTGTGCTGATGATGCACACGTCACCGACGAATGGTGTGAAGGGGGGATGTTTCTGTGATGAGTCAGGATTGTAATTGGAGAGGCTGAAGAATGTTTCGAATGAAAATTGAAATGGAGAAAGCGAGAAATGTTTCTGTAAGGGGGGAGATGAGGATCCATTTGCTTGGGAGAGATGAGAAGCCGCAGATCTGCCCTCCTCTACACCGATTGATTTTCTCTGTGTGAAGGGAGTGGGAGAGGGATGAGAGAAGTGAGGAATGGTGTGGATATGAGGACGTCAATCGTAAGATGTAACGAAATGTCTTGTGCGGGAATGTGTCCAGGCATAATATTGCATTACTCGTGTGAGTTAGGGAAAAAGTTGAATAGAAATAGGCTGAATCTGGTGTGAGAAATCTATTCTCATGATGATATGGAATGAATCGGTGAGCAGGAAAGATGAAAAGGCATAGCCAAGGGGAAAATCTATATAGGGAAGAAAACAGGATCGACAAATGGAGAATGAAGAATCGATGTACTCTGTGAGACTGAGAAGGGAGAGAATTGAGAAGCCCTAGATCTGTTTGTGTGAAATGAAGCCATGAGTTGAGACTCATTTGCTTTGTGAAGGGGAGAGGAAGAACGATGAAAGAGGGTGAGGCTTTCTAAGACGGGAATATGAAAGCCCCAAATAAAATAAAAGAGGAATAGCGAAAATGAAAAGCGGAAATATCTTGGGCGGGAAAATGGCATTCCATAAAGTATTGCAATTATGTAGAGTGATTAAATCTAGGCTCTGCAACTTATCGGGAAAGACAACAGATCGGAAGATGAGTGATGCGAATGAAATCTGAAGCACACGACGAGGAACCGGATGATGACGTGGGATAATGCTCGGCTTATATTATTGATTATTGGAAGCAAAATCATGCTTGCAAATAATAGTGCTCCTTAATTCGCAATTCAGAACATGCCATTATTTCCAAGTATAATATAATAATGGTAGAATCCTTTTGTTTGGACGAATCAGGTTTTTGGCTTTTTGGAGTATTGGACGGACATATTTGAAATAATACCAAAAAAGAATGAACATCACAAATAAATATTGAGCATATTAGAAATGAGTTTTATGTTATACTCAAATTAGAATAAAACTCAAAATGAATGAGCATACACAAATGAGTTTTTGAATTTTTTGATGTTGACTTTGTAAGTTATGTATGCTCATTTGGTACCTCTTTATGCGCATTTTAAAATGTTGCACATTTTAATCGTATCATACCACATTATGTTAAACACAAATGACTATAAAGCCCAAAACGAATGAACATACACAAATGGGCTTTTGAATTTTTTAATACACATTTTGTAAGTTATGTATTTTCATTTGGTACCTCTTTATACTCATTTTAAAATGTTGCACATTTCAAACGTATGATACTACATTAGATTCACATATTGAAATTAATTGAAATTGATTACAGAGATAATTTAAGACTTTTTATTTTTTTTATCATCAAAACATGCCTCTATTCACATCAAAAGATTCATCAGGATCATTACATCAAACAAAGGGAAAATAAAACAGACACCAACTGAAACTCCAACAACTGTAACCCTATGGTGAGACTTTGACACGGTCACCCCTGAGAGAGCAACACGAATCGCTAACCATGTAGTGGGCTTGACACAGCCAAAACTATTCCCATAGATCCAACCATACTCAATGACATAAAGAGAGACAAAAAAACTCAAACAAACTGTCAAACACAACAACAAAAATGGACGCAAGAAAACAAATAACAAACAGATAAAAACTATAAGAAAAACGTTCACGAATTCTAGCACCTCGTGCATCCCATGGTGGTGGTTCAGGAGGAGGTCGTACCACTGGTACCATGCTAATTAATCCTCCATGACCTTTGGTTGCCAAAGACCATGCATCAATCCTCCGTCCCTGCATAACCAAACTCATCTCTGCTCCGTGCGACTAGAGTAAGCGGACAGGCGGCGCCGATCTTCTCCAACGACGACAGCAACGCCGCATCCTCGAACCTTGACCACAACACCGATCTCCTCGAGCCATGACAACAAATCTGCCCTCCTCCACCGATCTCCGCCCTCCGCGTCTGACCTGGACTCCAGTCGAGCACCAGCGACCAAGGGATAACAAAGTCGATCTTCGATAAATTCGAAATCGGAAAAAGGCTCCAGCGGCCGACATAGTCAAAGCCCTAGAGAGAGAAATTTGTGATCGCTCTACCGTAGCCAAAAGCAGACCACTGCTCCGCGGCCAGATATGCGAACAAGAACAGCCGAACTTCGATCAATATGATCGAATTCGAAAAAAAAAAAACCTAGAGACGGCTGTCCTAGGAGGCTAGGAGAAACGATCTGCACTCCCTTACGAACTTTTTAATTTAAGACTTTTTATAAACAAAAAATAATAAAAAGAAAACGAATTAAAAGATATAAAGCACATATTTTGCATAGACCACCGATGCTCGTGCTCATTCAGGCTTTTAACGTTCATTCAAAAGAAGCCGAATGTAGAGATAGATGTATAATATAGGCTTCCGTCAACTCTTAACTTGTCGTCCTCAGTTTATAAAATTCCCTTAATCCCCCCAATCGCTCGAAGCTGCTTCCTGTTCTTCAAACATGGCTGCCGATGGCCCATGTTTTGACTTGCCGGAAGAATGCTGGGATCTGATATTTAGGCATCTCAATCGCGGCTGGGACCTTGAATCCCTCTCTTTGGTTTGCAAGCGTTTCTATGCTCTCTCAAACGCTCTCCTGATCCGATTATCGGTGACCGGCCCGATCAGCAGTGATACATTTTCTAAACTCCTATGCCGTTTCCCCAACCTCGTTTCTCTTAACCTCAGTAAATGTAAAGGTGATCTCCGTCCGCTATTCTCTGAAATCGAGCGTTTTGCCTCGCTAATAAACCTTAAAGAACTTGATATATCTAGGCATCAAATAGAATTTGATCTGTCGAACTATTCCGGATTAGTTTTTAAAAATTTGAAGGTTTTGAAGTGCCGCCGTGTGCCAGTTATGGGCGACTCTCATTTGTTTGCTATAGCTTGTTCTTTTCCTTGTTTAGAAGAGTTAGATATTAGTGATCCAAACATGGTCTTTCGATCTGAGAGACAGACCGCATCTCAACATATTGTGACAGATAAAGGAATTGAGGCTTTATCTTCTAGTTTGCTTAATTTGCGGAAAATCAGTATTTCTGGGAATCATTTCATCACTGATAGCTCCATTGCATCCCTAGTTGATCGTTTGAACCTTGAAAGCATTGAAATTTTGGATTGCCCTTTGATCACTGCAAATGCGATTCTCTCCATGATGAGGAAAAGTATAAGTTTGTGTTCGGTTTCTGCTAGCTGCATTGTTTTTCCAAGAACCCACTCATTAGTCTATCAAAGTTATTGTCGAACATTACATGTGATTGATCTAGGAAGCTCAATAGTCCCAGATGCTTTTCTATGTTCGTTAGCTCATCTTCCATTAGTTAGGCTGTCTCTTGTGAATTGTACGACCTTCACATTGCAAGGGCTTTCATTCCTTGTTCGTGCGAGTCCATTACTTCAGTACTTTGCTCTCGGGGATTCTGATTTACTCACTGATAAGGATATGGAGATCTTGTCCGTGTACCTACACAGTCTAGTCACTATCAAGTTAAATTCTTGTAGTGGATTGACAATCTCAACAATCTCTGCTCTTGTAAGAAATTGCCATTTACTAGAAGAGATTCACATGGAGAACGCTGGATTGGGAAGAAATGACATCACACTCCATTGCTCCAAAAGCTCGAGTCTCAAGACTCTCAAATTGGGATGGAATGATGATATCACTAACGAATGCCTTTTAAAAATTGCTTGCATATGCCCGAAGCTAGAGGAACTTGATGTTTCCGCTTGCGCGGGTATATCTGAAGAAGGGATTGCTAATGTTCTCCATATTTGTCCTGATATCAAAAGCTTAGGTATTGATTTCTGTTCAGGGATCCAAAGTATTGGTTATGGATGTGATTTACCAAAACTAGAGGTTCTAAGTGCCGCTTACTCTGCGGTCAGTAACAAAGGTCTTCAAATGGTGGGGATCAGATGCTCTGGGCTCCAAAAATTGGTTCTTCAGGGCTGCTTAGAAGTTACGAGTTCTGGAGTGGAGGACTTAGGGAAAACGTGTAGAAGATTGCGCGAAATTGATTTGGGCAGGTGTGACTATGTTGATGTCAGAGCTGTTGAACGGATTATCTTGTCTTGCCAGACACTTAGAAGAGTAACATCTCCTTCTGACCTGTCTGAAAAGTTGAAAAGGATCTTCTTGCAGCATGGATGTCTCATTCGTGATTTGTTGTTGTAGTTGCAATGTTTTGCTTTTGTTTGGTTCGTTTGTTTATTATGGTTCTGTTTTTTTATGGGGGGGGGTCCTAAGCTTGTAGGTATCCCAATGTGATGGTGTTGGCACTTGGCAATAAGAAAGTGATATAGAGTATGTGATTATTGTTCTGGTTTTTAGATTACACATTAACATTTTATCTAAAGACTCACTATATTTTGGCTTGGATTTATGATGGAATAAAGTAAAATATTTGACTAAATTGTTTGCGTTTCTTTATTACGAAACAACAGTCGGTCTCTGCAATTTTTTACGTGACTTTCAAGTCATCCGAATACAGTCTTACAAGACTGTGCACATCTGACTCTCCCATACTCCATGGTAGGTAGGATTTGTGGCATTGAGATATTGTTAATGATCAACACTTTATCCCAAAGTCTCGTATAAATAAATACACATGAATAGTTATTTTCCATTCCCAACAAATAGCAATTGGTTATCTTATGGGGCTGTTGCTTTTGGAATGGCATGGCAGCTCATGACTTGGAAAAACTCTGGGGATTTTAGGAACTCGCAAGGCCAAAAAAGGCGGCAGTTCATGTGGGATTGTGATCCTCTACCGCACGGCATAGTGCCTTGCCGTAGGGGGGTCGTCCGATGAGGAAGATGAAGCTTCGAGATGTGATCCGCAAGATCTCTGGTCGTTGAAGATTTGATCTGACAACTCCAAATGGTCGGGCACCATGCCTTGCTCTTAAGCAAGGCAAAGACTCCAGATCTGTTCATGTGAAGGCCGTTGAGTAAGCTTGGAATTGGTTGTACTGGGTGGCATTACTCCATGATAGGGGAAGAATTTTTCAAAATCATTTTTCAAATGATTTGTGTGGGGTTAGGTTAGTTGTAATCAGGGGTCCAAAGTGGGAGTTTGGAACGATTGCATGGTTAACTGTAGTCATGATCTCATGGACAGGGTTTGGTTCCAGTCCTGGATTAGCCAGTCCTAAAAAAACTGCAAGGTTTGTGAATCGGACTTGTATTTCCGATGGTTCACCCACCGTCCCGGTTTATTTATTTATTTATTTATTTGTTTATTTATTTATTTATTTATTTATTTATTTATTTAGTTATTTATTTATTTATTTATTTGTATATATCTTTAATAGTTTAATAAACCATCCATCTGTTCATCCCCTCAACACTCTCTCCCCACTAGGACTGGATTCGGGTCGGGTCCGGGCCGGGCCTAGGTCCGGGCGGGCCGCCGGTTCTGAATAGTTAGGCCCGGGACCGGCCTGGGTAGCTATCGGGTCTAGGTCGGGCCAGGCCTCGGGTGTGGTTATTCTTTTTCATTGCTTTCCTAAGTATCCCTGACCCCCCCCCTCTCACCCCCCACCCCCAAACCCCTCCTAAACATCAAGCCCAACCCTGGTGGAACCCAAAAAAATGAAAAAAAAAAATAATCAATTTGGCCCGAACCGGGCCCGGGCCTCCTTTTCACTGATCCAAGCCCATCCCGCTTTTCCTAGCTAACCGGGCCTTAGACCGGTTTGGGGCCCGCAGCACCGGGCCGGGCCGGTCCCGCACAGTAGCGGGCCGGGTGGCCCGAACCGAGTCTAGGACTACTCCCCACCCTCTATATTAGGGGTGTAAATGAGTCAAGCCGCTCGTGAGCTGCTCGTGGATCGCTGGGGAAAAGCTCGACTCGAGTTCCGTCAAATTAAGCTCGACTCGAATTGTTAACAAGCTCAATTCAAGCCTGTTTATTTTAGGCTCATGACTCGTGAGCTGGTTCGTGAGCCTTTGTGTCATATATTATATATATAATAATATACTCCCTCCGTCCCATTGGAACGTTCCCGTTCGGTTTACGATGCTTGACTGACGATAAAGCAACTCGATCCCTGTTCACACTCCGCTTATTTTTAGTAAATAAAATTTACATATTCAGAAACTACATTAAAACCGCTACAAAGCCTGATCAAGAAAAGTTCAATTTGATAAAAATTTGATATATAAAGTAAAAGATTAGGAGTGACCTAAGTTGACCAATGAATAGTGAACGGGAACATTCCAACGGGACAAAGGGAGTATATTATATATAATAAATATATACTTGTATGTAATAATTATATATGTATTTTTTATTGAAACATATATTCTAATTTAGGACTTCATTTTCAATACTTGTCACAAAATATATTATAGTAGTAATAATTACAAATATAATAACATGTGTGTTGTAGTATTATTATAACCATAATCTGTAATAATTATAATATGTACTCCTAATATTTATTGACGGTAAAATAAAGAAGAAAAATGTTAGTAAATGAAAGATAAACTAAAAATAAGAATGAATAAGTACACGTATAATATGATGGTTTGGTTTGTTTGTATAAGAGGAAAAGATTAGGATGTTTTTACTTGGACTGTAATTTGATGGTTTGGTTTGTTTGTATTTTTATAACTATCCAAGTCTGGTCTGATCTGGTTTGAGATGAATTACAGTCCAATTAAAAACATCCATAGTGAAAATATTGTCTCAATTTACCTTTATTTGATAACATACCTAAAAAAATAGATACATCTCTAACTATTGTAAATATTACTCCTAACTTCATGAGTCATAATATTTTTTTATTGATTTTTTTCCTTTTTTTATTTTTTAATCTTTTAATATTTTAATTTTTAATTTTTTAATTTTTTTTACTTAGTAATTTTTTTTACTTTTTTTATATTTTAACATTTTTCCTAGGGGTGGGCGTGGTCCGGAACGGTCTGGTAAACTAGTAAAACCCGTAATGTATCCGCTATGTTTTTAACGGTCCGGTACGGTCCGGTTTCAAGGATGGAACCGTTCGGTACAATGCCGTTTCGGAACGGTACAAAACGGTACGGTACAATGCAAACACATGCTAAAAATTTTGAACAAATCTTGCAATTAGTAGATATTTTTACACCACTTAACTCACATGAAATGTTGATATAAATACAAGAAATTGCATATGTAGTATTAATGTTCACAAATACACAAGAATTGCAACACAACTAAGAAAAAGTATAGCAAAATGATGACACACGAGATAAATATCATCTTTAATTTACTAAGTTCATATGAAAATATAAAAAAGAATATCATCAAATTGTTGAATATAATAGAAATTTTCAATGTTTTTCTTCTTCGTTCTAGGTTAAATATTTCTCCGTAGTTCTAATTTAATTTATAGTTGAAACTTGAGAGCTAAGATTTAAACCATATTAATTAAGTTGTAAAATTGCGCAAACATGATACTACAAAAAGTCATGTACACTACATTACTAGAAATGAATGGTCATTAAAGATTTCTAAAATTTTAATATTCTTTCAATACATATCAAAATATAACATAAACTATCTAAAAAGAATAAATAAATAAATAAATAAATAAATAAATAAATAAATAAATAAATAAATAAATAAATAAATAAATAAATAAATAAATATACATAATATAAACACACATTTGTGCTAGAAGATGGTCCTTGGGTTTTTGAGAGAGATTTAGTGTTGTTGAAAACAGTTCAGCCAGATGATATCCCTGAAAAACTGATTTTATTTGAGGCAGACTTCTGGGTTCAGATGCATAATGTTCCTCAAAAATTTAGAAACCTGAATTCTGCAAGGCGTATTGGGAATTTTATTGGCTCTTTTAAAAAGTTTGATGAAAATAGTTATGGAGACAAAAGAAAGTCTTTTTTGAGAATCAGAATATGTATGGATGTTAGGAAGCCCCTGAAAAAGGGCACTTCTCTGAAAAAGGAAGGAAAGGGACATTGGGTTGATTTCAAGTATGAGAAACTACCCAATTTCTGTTTCATATGTGGGGTGATTGGGCATTCGGATAAGTTTTGCTTGCTACGCTATGAGGAGGGAATTATTATTGAAAAATCTTTTGGAGTTGAGCTTAGGGCAGGTGGAGGAGCAAAGACTAGCCTAGCAGGCCCTAATAAGTGGCTTGTACAAGATCCTGTAAGCTTCAAAGGAGTCGGACAGCAGAGGAAGAATGAACTCGAGGAGGAGCAATCAGCTGAGACAGGGGCTAGCGCAGCTAAGCAAGGAACGGGTGATGTGGAAGGGGAACCAGGAGAGACTAAACGCAGGAGAATATGGGAGGACAAGCTTAAAGAGAATATAGGGGATGAAGACATGGCACTTGATGTGCCAAAAAATGGCAAGACGTCGGGTCAGAACTCCTAGACCCGCCGGTTTGGCAGTGGATGTTTTTGGTTAAGTTTTCGAGTGTTGGGGTTTATTTCTTTCTTTGTTTTAGGCTTTATTTCCACGGATTTTCTGTTGTGCTTTGGTTTTATTCTTCGTTTTACTGTGAAACTTTAGCATTATGTTTGGAGGTTGAAAGGTCTGCGGTAGGCGTCGTTAGCTTTAATTTGCCCAAATTCGGTCTAGCGAGTTATATTGCTTTGTTTAAGGTGATTAACTCAGAGTCTCGGCCATGGGCGGATGGTTACATGCGGTCCTTTCACGTTCTTGTACTCCTGCTGATTGCTATTTTAATGATATAAGCGCTTTACGATCAAAAAATAAATAAAACACGCATTTTGCTAGTTTAGGAACGCATGAATACATATTTGGGCTATAAAATTGTTTGTCTATTAAAGAGATCCATTATTTTCGAACGGTTCGGTCCGGTATTTTTCGGTTCTCAAAATCTAGGACTGGTCCCTTACCCGTTTCAAAACGGTTCGGTTTCGGTACGGGACAAAAATCTATAGAACCGTTTAAATACCCGGTATACGGTTTGGTACCATTACGGGACGGCTCGATACCGGTTCGGTTCGGGTTTTATGCCCACCCCTAGTTTTTTCCACTCCCATAGGAGATGGAAAGTATGTGATTATTAACAAGTTTCCTCCGAAATACCCCGAATTGGGGGGTTTAGAATGCGAGGAAGTGGAAGATTTTGGAAGTCTTCCACTTTCCTCTTCTTTCCTCATATTTCCTTCAACCAAATACACACAAATCACTCACTTCCCCTCCAAAATCCTCCAACCAAGCAGGGCCTAATGGTATTGGTGTGTGAGACTAGAGAAAATGAGGGGCTTGGCCGGAGTCAGGTGCTCTATGCAGTGAAGCTGTGAATCGTTCCGCCGACTGAATTTATGCTTGTTTTATGTTAGTTACGATTCAATTTAGGAGATGGATAGTTTGACATTATCAACACGTTTCCTTCGAAATACCCCGATTTGGGGGGTTTAGAATGGGAGGAAGTGGAGGATTTTGGAAGTCTTCCTTCCACATTCCTCCCCTTCCTCCCTATTTCCTTCAACCAAACACACACAAATTCCTGACTTTCCTTCCCTCCCCTCCCCTCTGAAACCCTCCAACCAAACGGGGCCTTAATTTTGGTGTGAGGTGCTCTATGCAGTGAAGCTGTGAATCGTTCCGCCGACTGAATTTATGCTCGTTTTATGTTAGTTACGATTCAATTTAAGATTCCTTGTTAAATATGAATATATGATTGATTTGCCATCACAAGATTTATTCCTATTTGTAGTCACAAATGCGTTTTGTTCTGTATTATTTTGCCTAATTGTTCAGATGCCACTATGGCAGTAGTACCTATGAGCTTTCAGAAAATACAACACTCGATCACACTTTTTTTTTTGTTTTTTTTTTTTAAATTTGGTTATAGATGCACCGAAGTGGGTAGCCTTAACCGGATGTGTGGTAACAAGAAAAGCCCGAAAGCTAGTCCCGTCCCTCTCAGGGGAGATGCCAACCATCTCTCCTTTCTACGAACACACAACACTCGATCACACATTGATGGGTATCATTGCGTACATTCATAATTAATTCAAACGACAAAAATATGATTTTTAAAAAAAAAATACAAATAAGTGGACATATTCGTCATTTCCTATGTATTCCACATTCCCAAGTATTTAATGTCTGCAATCTTTACGACTTTACTCTTACTTGTGTTTTTCCTTTTTATTTAAAATAGCTTTTTTACCATTCCTAAACCCTAGGATTTATTTCTCAATATTTTCATTTGGTACATGCCTAAAGCAACTTGAAACAAAATATGAACTAGACCACAAATTCAGTTCTTTTTGAATAAAAAGGATCGGCTTTTAGATCAAAATAAAGAAAAGATACAAGATAACATCCAGACATTTATATGACAAAGCAACATGATTCGTTAGACACGAAACTGACGATTTAAAGCCTAAAACAATCGGGATTGTAATATTGTCTATCAAATGTATGCCGGAAGTCCAAATTTCTGGGCCAAACTTAATGAAACTAAAATAAAAACAGGTAATACTAATGGAAAAATAAAATTGAAGTAAAGTCTTTCCACAAAACTCTTCTGGAGGAGGACGAGCTCTATCAATGTCTACGCACTCTACAAGAAGGCAGATAGAAACCCTGACCATACTAAGCTAGCTGGGAACATCAACAGAATTTCCCACATCGAGAGAGACAACCCATCCCAGAGAACCAGTGCACGGGAAGAAACCGCCATAAAACAAAATCAACACAATCAGAAGAGAATAGCAATCCAATTGGATCATACCTTTACTGAGAATCCCTGAGCATCGATATCACCATCAGATAGTTTGGATCACTGCATCACTGGGTTGAGAGATACGCAGATCGAGAAGATGAAAGCTAATGGGAGAAAGCGGAGAAAGCTAAGGAGGAAGATGGCCCGATCATGCTTCAATCACTGCGGCGCTACGGTTGATACATGAACGCCCGCTTAAGTGCTTAACCCTCCAATCACTTGCCTCAAGCCACCGACTCTCCTCTCAAGCCCTTGTTTCGCTGCTCAACCAGAACCATGACACCTATAGCTATCGCCCGCACCGCTATCTCCTTCAATTCTAGAGGTGGAGAGGTGTTTAGAAATCATCTTGGCCAAATGCTATTTGCTCTCAGTTGCCCGGTCAGCCGGTCTCGACTAGGGCTGGACTCGAGCCGGTTCGGGCCCGGTTCGGGCCTGGGCCCGGCCGGGCCTCGGGCCAGAAAAGGGAGGCCCGAGCCCGAACCGCCGGTGGCCGGTTCCGGTCCTGGTTCCGGGCCAAACCGGGCCGGGCCGGGCCGGGCCAAACCGGCCCAATTAATTTTTTTTTTTTTGTTCTCCAATTTAATCCCCTACCCCTCCCCCTCAACCCCAAACCATCCCAAACCACCTCAAATGGCCCAAAATACCTAATCCAACCTAAAACTTAAAAAAATTTCAAAAAAAAAAAAATTAAAATCCGGCCCGGACCGGGCCCGAACCGGCCGGGCCAGGCCGAACCGAACCGGTGGACCCACCGGGCCCCGGGCCGGGCCGGGCCAAACAGTAACCGGGCCGGGCCGGTTCCGGGCCGGGCCGCCCGGGCCGAGTCCAGCACTAGTCTCGACTAGCAGCTTGCTTTCCGTGGAACCCGAGTGCTTCATTGATATCCTCATATAGGTGATATGGGCAAGTATGGCTGGGTATTGGAATTTCATGCTCGAAATGGATTCATTTGCGGTGTTCAATCTTCATTCTAAAGACAAAGCGAACTCGAAAGACCACAAATCAAGTTAAAACAAGATTTTGTGCCACACTGTAAAAGTGTGTAATAGACTATAATCTCCAAGAAAATTATGCAATTTGATAGAGAAATGTAAAATTATATACGTAATACAAAGGACTGAAAGAGTGAAAGATTCGGGTAGGACTTGAGAAGGAGGGGATGTCATTGGGTTTGTGAATAAGTCGGCTTTATTTTTTTCTTTTAAAAAAAGAAAAAGAATGAGAGTTCTTGAGCCTCTAATACTATTTTTTCGCAAAACTTCTCCTACAGTAGAGTTATATGACTTATATCACCAACTTTACGATATGCCTAGGACAACTGGATATCGAAATATGAGACAAAGCATAGAGAAAAACATAATAACTAGTGATTGAGGAGACAATCACTAGATATTGATTGGAGAAAACTAATATCGAGCTCTAGAGATTTATATGGGGGGGGCCTTCACTTCATTAGAGAAAACTTATGTTGCTTGGAATTTTCAGAGGTAAAAGTGTAAAACAAAACCTAACAAAAATAATTGTCCTTCATTTGATGTCTTCCCCCTAACATTTCCCGTTACAAAACCTAACAAAAATGATTGTCCTTCAGTTTATGTCTAGCTAATGAAACAACACAACTTTATTTTATCAAAATTAAAAAAACTTGTAACGGGAAGATACATGACAAACTCATAATGTGTACTTCTAATGTATGTATGCAGCAAGTGCATTTATGCACTACTAGCACAGAAGTAATTATGGCACCATTAAAGGGAGGGGATAGGAAAAGAAGCAACATAGAGAATCTGCAGAAAAGTGCATATCTCCAAATGTTACATGCATTTGACCATGTGCCGCTTTAGCTCTTGTAGTACTCTTTCTCGGGAAGACCAAGCTTAGATAGCACCATGCAGTACGAGTCCCAATCAGTCCTTCGGAGATACTTCATCATCTTTGTCCTCTTCTTGACCATCGCTTCAAGACCCTTTCGAGAATGTTTGTCCTACATAACATTGGATCTTTTGTAAAGAAACCAAATGCACTGAACGAAGGACTATAGAAAACCAAATCCAATTCATTAAGTTCCATAATGGTCAATTGGTCAGCAATATAACAAGGAGTGTGTGGTTGAGAAGATCCTACTAGAGTTCCTTATATAACAAGGACTGCACGATTAAGAATAGCTAGCCATTTAATGTCCAGACTCATTCTTGAAAATAAAATCATACAAAACAAAGGGCATAGTGTAAACGCAAGTCTTTTCACAGGTAAACCTTTAAGAATTTTATTTTATTTATTTATCTTTGCTACTCTGTAGTAATTAACAATTCAGCATCTTTCCATCTTTGAAACAATGTAATAGCAGATATGATTACTTGTCAAGATATAACTTACCTTCTTATGAAGAACACCTGATAGGTGTTTGATTTTGGTTGTAAGTTGAGCAACTGCATAAGAAATGAAAAATAAATTATTTGGTCGTAACTCGTAAGGGCACAGCTGCGAGTAAATTCCTTGTTGAGAGCGAAACAGCATCTTGGTGTAGGAACCAACAAAATACTTTAAAAACACTTGAGCTTTAGCATTTAAATAGTGGAGGAGAAGGAATAGGAAAAAGCCTCTACACTCTACAGTCTACAAATATACAAGGAATAGAATGAGATAAAGCTAAACAACAAACAATCCTGCGATGAGAGTTAACAAGAAACAGAATTCAGAAACATTTACCCTGAACACGAGCAGAGCCACAATCAGACTCTGTCAATTTGAATTCATCTCTGACTTTCTTTAGCTCCAACTTCATTTTCTCTGCAGATGACATGAGAGCTGGATCAAAATACTGCAAAATAATGACACAAAATTAACACTCCATCTATAAGAGTAAAAATGCTTTAAACTTGTCATGAGAACAATGGAAGACACGACGGAAGCAATAACAGGAACACAAATGAACAAGTTACTGGAATACAATTACATGGATACTCAAATTATATGATACAATCCTCATATGGGTCCTCATATTATATGGTAGGATCTTCATTTTTAATAGATTAGGTTAGTCATGTTCTCAACTATATGCTCCTTGGGAGGGCGTGATAAACTATTAGTTAAGGAAAACACATAAAAAACTCACCTTCTCAAGTAAGTGCTCCTTGGGAGGACTTGATAAGTACTCATACCTTTCTCCATGTAAGCCAATAAGATTCAAAGTCTGAACTGTGTGAACCAATATAAGGAAGACAAAAAAACCATTAGTACTAGAGAACATATTTTGCAAACAAAAAAAAAAGATTTCTTGTGTGGTTCTACATAAAAACAGGGTTCCACTGCCATTTTCATTAGGATGGAAATTTCAATAGAGCGAATATTTTCCAAAAACAGTAATTTATGCCATTTCAAAATACATCTGAATAATTTAAGATTCCATACTCCCAAGGAAAACTAGGGACTGATTAGTTTTTCGTTGCAATCATATTCACAAAGAACAGCAATGTCATATTTTAGCCAAAGATTGGTCATTGAGCATTAGTTCCAATGACTACAGGCCTACAGCATTAGATATTGAGAACCAAAGTAATAATGCAATTATGCACGTAATACATATAGTTAAAGATCAATTTTGGCACTCACATGTATTAGTCTGCTTGTTAGCATCTTTAGAAGGGTTTGATATTGACTTGATAGCTTTTCTCATATCTGCAAAAGCTTGACCCTGTTTAGCGGCATACTCTTTATCCGCAATCTCCTTAACCTTAAGCAACCTATCATTCAATTCTTGAAACGAAAACCAATTTTTCTTTCCCACGTGATCCGGCCTCAATGATCTCAGCTTCTCACCCAGCTCATTGTGATTATACCCAAGCTCAAATGAACTTTTCACAAGTCCTACGTTATTCCTGCCCTTTGAATCCTTGCTACCATTGTTAAGCATAGATGTACGTAACTTTTCACTACCAATTGGTGCCGCCTGTTCTTGTATGCTCATATCACCAGACCTCAACCTCAAGTTAGGAAGTGAACGCGGAAACCCCGTTTTCCCAGGAGCAGCACCCCGGTTACTTTGCTGGAGCTGAGCCAAACACTTACCGATAGCCCCAAAGGGCGTCTTGTCGGTGGCGGGCTTTGAGGCATCGGGCTTGGACTCTTTCTCCTGGGAGAGAAAACTTCGATTGTACATACCCTGAAATGTCACGTTCGTTGATGAAGGTGAAGGGGGAGAATGCGGCGTCGGAGGAGCATTCCGGATTGGCAAATTTACTAGTTTGTTATGGATATTCTTCAAGTAGTCTAATTTAGGGTGAGGTTGATCCGAACTGGAAAAAGAACAATCCAGGAGAAAAATGGCTTGGTGCCGTTTATTACGGAGCCGGAGAGATCTGACTGTTGCCGCCATGAGGGAGTTGCGATGTTTGACGATAAAGAACCCTAAGATTTGATTAATACGTATCTATTAATATCTACTAGCAAAAGGTGGTCAGTCGGAAAGAGGCAGTCAGTGAGTCTGGCAGAGAGCTAGATTCCGGAGGGACGCCTATTTCCGATGGCCTACGCAGGGCCCTGGACGGAGGGCGGCGGCGGCGGTCGGCTGGGCAGGCTTCGTGTCTTCGCCGCTTCCGCAGTTCAGCTGCGTGCTTCGCAGATAGCAGACCAGGTGGAATAGGCAGTCTGGAACGTGTGTTAGATGGATTTGGACTGGGCTTGACATTAATTTAAGTTTAAACTATACCTACAATAAAAAATAAATTGGGCTGGGGTGGAGACATAGGCCTATAGGAGTTAATAGTATACTCAATATAATCGATATTGAGGGTACTCGATATTACTCCTCCGTCCCCAAATTAACTTTTCATTTTCCTTTTCGGGCAGTTCCGAAATTAACTTCCTACTTCCTTTTGGCAAATTATCTACATCAAAACAGTGTCAAAACAGTAAAATTTACCTCATAGTAAATTTATTTCTTTAATATGTGTGAATTCCAAGTGAGAAGTTGTTTCTGGGACGGATGGGGTATTTATTTTCAGCGGCCAATTACATGATGCTTTAAATAGTATGGAGCAGATAATGAGATGGGCAGGTATAAAATCGTAATTGTCATGCTACATCATGTAAAAACAAGACTATTATTCAATGTTTTGTACCCATTATCCGATCAATGTGATTTTCTCCATTTTGACATACGAGAGCGATTAGGTTCGGGTATCCACCCAATCATCCTAGCCGAACTTCATTATGTAATGATTTATTGTTGTGGTTAACTTGTCATCCATTTCCTGAAATAATTTAATATAATAAATCAATTATAATATGTGCACTGTAATGAAGGATGTGTTAAGTCCGTCTATCTATATAATACGAAGTATACACAAACACAATATAACTCCATACATTGGACAGTTTCTAGATCTCAACTTGAGTATACAAAATTTGTTAGTCTGCATCAGCATCAACACAAATGGTGCGAAAGTCAATTTATAACTCAATATTTTCCTACAAAGTATACACCCTATAGATTCATCAAACATTCAACTTAGATTAAGATATTTGTCTATATTACTTTCAATATCTTTATTAATGATGTTTGGCATTTGAATTCACATTTTCTATTTACAATCCCTGCTATTCTTCAAGATTGTTTGTTAATGATATGATGTTCTTGGTGTTTGTTTTACAACTATGAGCTATAAATGTTTGCTTTCTTACAGATTTGAAGAAAACAGAGTTTTAGTTTTGTTCTTCAAAATACACTATGGCAAGAGGCCATTACTCAATTGCTAACCTTTGTTAAAAGACTGTGGACCCCCTATTTATCTAAATTACTTGTGATGGTATAATTATTCAAACCAAATAAGAGCTTTTGAAAACAAATTTGACAATGGAAAACAATTCAGTCTCTTTATATTCTTCAGAAAATAAAGTTTTTGCATTCATTTTTTTTTTTACCAAAATCTGTTATACCAAATTTTTTTTTACCAAAATTTGTTAGTTTTAGAGAAATGCAGCAAATTTTGTCTTTAACTTTTCACTTTAGTCACAGTATAGAAAAGTAGAAATTCACAAACGATTGCCATGAATACAGAAAACATTATCCACAAACATTTGTTTTGGTGATGATTTTTCTCCGATATGAAAGCATCAATGTCATTACTTAGAATTGCAGAGGGCTAGGGTATCTTACAAGTTCTGTCCGATTTGGCTCAGAACCACCATCCAGGATTTGTTTTGTTGGTGGAGACAAAAGTTTGAAGGGAGAGAGTGAGCGAAAGTGAGGGGCAGTAGTGGCAAGGTTTAGTGATGGGATGGAAGTACGACGTTGAGCTAGAAATCACGGATGCAAACTCTCATTATATTGCCGCAGAATTTTGCATGGCAAAAGGAGGTTTTTTTGCATCGAGGCAACCCTTTATGTCATTATTTATTCATTTTGGTGGCGGAAGGATTGAGTGCTCATTTTCTTCAAGCGGAAAGAGGAGGCGATTTGGATTGAGTGGCGGTGTGTGGAGAAGCACCGAAGGTATCTCATTTATTTTTTGTTGATAGTTTGTTGTTCTTTTATGCATCGGTGAAGGAATGTGAAGTTGTTAAAAAATCATTACTCAATATGCCAAGGAATCTAGTCAAGTGGTTAATTTCAATAGATCGTGTGTTTATTTTAGCCCAAATATGATGGAGCTATGTGAGAGTACTTATGTAATTCATTGGGGTTGCTAGAGATGGATAGTATGTATAGTACTTTGGCCTTCCGACTTTGATTGACCGTTGGAAAAAAGCTATGTTACTTAGCTTATATTCATGAGAGAATTATTAATCGAATCAAGAGTTGGAATCACAAGTTTTTATCAAGAGTTGGTAGGGCGGTGCTTTTAAAGGATATAATCCAGGTTATGCCTAACTATGTCATAAACTTTTTTGTTGCCAAGGAAGCTAAGTGATGAGATTGAAAAAGGTATGAATATATATCGGTGGAAGGGTAATTACGTTAAACATACATGTATTCGTTGGAGAGCCTAGGGTGAGATATGTTAGCCGAAGGGGGAAGGTGGAATGGGATTCAGATATCTAGCTAAACGGGCATGAAGATTAACAACAAGCAAGTCGAGTTTGGCAAGCAGGATTTTTTAGGCTCCATATTTCCAAAACACTTCTTTCTTGGGCGGGGGGGGCAATTAGGTGTTAACCCATTTTTCATATGGGGAAGCATTTTAGAGGCACAATAGGTAGTTTCACAGAATATACATAGGAGAGTGGTTAGTGGAGCGAAGGTCCAAACTTGGACCTCCAAGTTTGGGGAGATACATTGCTCCCAGGTTTTGATTCGGGAAGGGTACAACAACCAAAATCAACAAATATAAGAGACATGAATGGTGCAGCGCTGCGATTGGAAGACTAAAAAATTGGGACTAGGTCCGGTTCATATCGATTATCTCCATAGGAAATGCCAATAAGATAATGAATATAATGATTAGTATGTGTAGTAGACCAAATACCTATTGGTGGAATGGAGAAAGAAATGGAATGTTTTGAGTAAAAAATTGTTACTGGTACATGACTCGTAGCTCGGGTAACCCAATACGGGGCAGATCGATTCACATGTGAAATTTTCCAGTTGTTTCTAAGGTCAAATATTTTTCTGGTAGGCCATGAATAGGTGTCTAGCTATGGCGGTGTGTAATACTCGAGATTTAATTGAAATGGATTAATAGTACTATTCATACCAACAATATGTGTCTCCTTTTAAGGGGGCTCATCACCCAAGAACTCCAAAGTTAAGTGTGCTTGCATGAGAGTAGTCTTGGGATGGGTGACCCGCTAGGAAGTTTCTTAGGGCGCGCACGAGTGAGGACAAAGTGCGCAGAAAAGGCTAGTGGCGGTTTGTGAAGACAGTACTAGAGGTAGGGGTGGGTGCGGTCTGGAACGGTCCGAAACGGTCCTGTACGGTCCGGTTTCAAGGATGGAACCGTTCGGTACCATGACATTTCGGAATGGTACAAAACGGTACGGTACAATGCCAAACACATGCTAAAAAATTTGAACAAATCTCGCAATTAGTAGATATCTTCACACCAACCAACTCACATGAAATGTTGATATAAATACAAGAAATTTCATACTCCGTATGTAGTACTAAAGCTCACAAATACACAAATAGCGCAACACAACTAAGAAAAAGTATAGCAAAAAGATAAATATCATCTTTAATTTACTAAGTTCATGTGAAAACATAAAAAAGAATATCATCAAATTGATGAATATAATATAAATCTTCAATGTTTTTCTTCGTTCTAAGTTAAATATGTCTCCGTAGTTCTAATTTAATTTATAGTTGAAACTTGAGAGCTGAAATTTAAACCATATTAATTAAGTTGTAAAATTATTGTGCAAGCATGATACTACATAAAGTCATGTACACTACATTACTAAAAATGAATAGTCCTTGATAATTTTAATATTCTTTCAATACATATCAAAATATAAAACATAAATTACCCAAAAAAAGAAAAAATAACAATATATAATATAAACACGCACATTTAGTTAGTTTAGGAACGCGTGAATACATACTTGGGCTATAAAATTGTTTGTCTATAAAAGAGATCTATTGATATAGAAAAATTATAAAAAAATTCAAATGCATTATTTTCAAACGGTTCGGTCCGGTATTTTTCGGTTCCGTACCCGTTTCAAACGGTTCAGTTTCGGTACGGGACAAAAATCTATAGAACCGTTTAAATACCCGGTATTCGGTTCGGTACCATTACGAGACGGCTCAGTACCGGTTCGGTTCGGGTTTTATGCCGACCCCTAACTAGAGGTCTGTAGAGGTGTGGAGTAACTACCTTGGGTTCTGATCCGTTGGACATCGGACGGGCACTTAGCGGGGCAAGATTCTGGGGTTCGATTAAGATTGATTTAAGGGCGCAACAAGGACGTTATGATCCTAATTCCTAAGTGGGGGTGATTGTAATACTCGAGATTTAATTGAAATGGATTAATAGTACTACTCATACCAACAAGATGCATCTCTTTTTAAGCGTGCTTGCAAGAGAGTAGTCTTGGATTGAGTGACCCCTGGAAAGTTTCGATTTGTGAGGACAGTACTAGAGGTCTGGGGTAACTACCTTGGGTCCTGCGGGGCCGGGGTGTTACACGGTGAATCTTCGAAGACTAGGACCACATTTTGGCAGTTTGCAATCTGTGGGGGTGGGGGGACATCATTGATCATGCCCTTCATTCATGTCTGGACAATGGACTATTTAATGAGAATGTGGAAATCTTTGAAGCCTTATTGATTAAAGAATGCATACAAAGCACGAATGAAGGAGGAAGATGCTAATTGGTGATTATTTTCTATGGAATTTATGGAAATTAAAAGAGGAAATAAAGCAGTACAGGATGTCGAGCAGCAAGGTGAGCGATCGATTTGCATGTTCAAATACTCCGTATGTTTCATTAGTACAGAAATACATTCAAGAACTTGCTATGAACTAAGGCTATTCTGATCTATCGATCGCTAGACTATCTATTTACAAGATCATAGTGTAAGGTGATGTTTACACTAATGAGACAGTATCGTAGTGATGTGTCAACTCCCCCTTGGTTGGGCCCTCCCGCCATTTCTTGTTGTTGCTACCCATGCTCCGACTAGGCATGGATCGGGCCGGGCTCCGGGTCA